CTGTATTTAGTTATTTAATAAAACTAGTTAGCAGAATGACCTAGGTTGAAACTCTTAGATAAAAATACAATATTAGTAGGCTCTGGATTTTCTAGATATATTTTTTAAATTTATTCTTGGGCTTTATCTCTTAGAAATAACACCCTCCATTGTAATTTTCTTTTCTAAGCTATGATGTCATACTAGCTGTTACCCGCGACTTTGTCCGCGTAGAATGTGAATTTTAGAATATAACTTTTGTTTTGGTTCAATTTTTCAAAATAAAAGTAGTCTATGTAGTAACATAGGGTTCCTTAGTAGGTACTTCTTAGTACATCACCTTACTTGTAATAAAAGTCCTATCAAAATCAGTCCAGCCATTCCAAAGATTAGCCAGTACAAACAGACAGACAGATAAAAATAGTAAAAAAAATTCATTTTGGTATGTATCGTATGATTAGTATATTCATAGTAGTAACTATTTTCATATTACAAACTGATCAAATCTATAGATGTATAGATAAAAAATAGATAATAATATGTATTAAAGACATATTAATTGAAAGTTCAATAAAAGATCTTATATACAAAAAATAATAGTTAAAGTGAAGAACCTCTCCTATTATTATCTAAATTTGCTTAGTTACTTACAAATATAGAAAGTCATACTTTCAGTAATCTACTATCTAAGATCTGTAACCAGGCAGGATTACAGGCAACAAACAAGACAAACATCTCAAGGTCAAGTCGCAATTTATATTTTCTTAGAAATGTACGTAACCACAATAGATAAACGAGTTAGTATCTGAACCGGCGACCCCTTGAACTGCAGTGCAACTTCTGAGCGCGTGACCTTCGCGACGTATTACCCAACCCTTACTTTAGACTTATATATATTTCTTTAGACATCATTTTAGAAGAAATTTATCGTTTGCGATTTGGCTAATTCTGGTCTTGAAAGTTCGTGGAAGTCCAGGGAAGGTTTAAAAGGCAAGAAAAAATATTGTTTGGCGGTATGGAGTTTACCGGGTCAACACATAACATCACGCCTTTTATTTCGGAAGGGGTAGGCAGAGGTGCACACTCTGCCACTGTACAATGTAACACCCACTTTTCACTATTTATGTTATGAGTAATAGGGGTGAGCCTGTTGCCATATACCGGGCAGAATTACAGACTCCGTGCTACTACTGATATTTTTATTAAAACCCAATAATACTTTACCCGACCCGGGAATCGAACGCGAGACCCCATGCCTGGCAGTCGCACTTGCGACCACTCGGCCAACGAGGCAGTCAAGTCAGTCCGTTTAAAAAAAATATAATTAAAATAGTGTCTATTTATACATTGCTTCGTTGATGGAGTGGATTATGTGATTGCTGAGAAAGTGATTTCAGGTTCTCAGGTGAGTTAAGGTAATCTAAAATTTTGTTTATTTTGTAAAAATAGGTCGTACATGTAATATGTAAAATTATAAATTAGAATTCATAAAAACAGTGTCTAAGTCTTCCCTTCAAGAAATTAAAATGTGTTACATTATATAATTTAGTATATTTAATAGGCTACGCAACATCGCCGCGGCCATGGACGCTACTCATGAGGAAGAACCCTCTGTGGTTCGAATCTAGTAGAGCTTTTCTCGGTATATTCACGTGAGTGAAACCCACGATTTTTAGTTAATATAATTTATTTATGTATCTAAAAGTATTTCTTTCCTGAAACTTAAAAGATGAGATAGATATTGTGTTTAAATAATATTTTAAATAGACAGTATGTAAACCTCGTGTATGTAAGGTCAATTTAATTTAGAAATATTTTATTTTTATTATTTTTATTTATGTAAATGGCCGTCAAATTTATGCTTTTGGGAAAAAGGATATGATGCATACAGCCAAGGTGTATATTTAGTGTAGGTATATAGTAATATTATTTAATTACCTATTATTAACTGAAATCCATTGTATATTTTTATATTATATACAAAATTTAAAGAAAAATAAGAATTATTATTTAAAGTGGAACTTTTCTAAAATCTTTTTGGCAATATATCTTTCGATATAGTGTAGAGGGAGATAGATGCAAATGAAAAATCAACATATGTATATCAATTTATTTATTTATTTTATTTATTTATTTATTTATAAGCACATTTATAATTTTACAGTACAAGCCAAAACATTATACAGTTAAACAATAAAAAATGTTACTTATTTAGAGGTACTATTTTACACCTATGTAATAGGTATCTTATATAAAAAGTACAATAATTATAATTACTTAAAACTAATTCATCAGCCGTCCATCTTCTCACAAAATCTTAAACATTCACGACATACATCCTTCCATCTCGCTGCGAACAAATCACACTCTGGTGCGGATGCCAGGAAAGCATTGATCATCGTTAATGCTCGAACAAGCGGAGAATTTTCAATATATTGATTTTGTTATTTATTATTATAATATTTGTTATATTTTTTGGTAACCCATGTTAAAAGGTTTTTTTATGCATATTTTATATAAAAAACCCTTTTTATACATATTATGGTAACAGGTATTAATATTATGGGATTATGGACCTCATTCCTTTTTGAAACGTTCCCGTTTACAATCACGATTGCGTTTACAAATGCGAAAAGATATGTAACAACAATTTGTGAGTAGTTAATATAATTTTGTCTTGTGATGTGAAAAAAGTGTGTCGTGGTGACCCAAAGGCTAAAGACGCTTCTCAAGCATGAGGGTGCGGTTTCGAAACTCACCAACGGCAAGTACCAATGTGACTTTTTCCGAGTTATATGTACTTTCTAAGATTATTTAGACACCCCTGACAAACAGTGAAGGAAAACTTCATGAGGAGACCATAAGCCTAGTTTCCAATTTCTAATAATAAGTTTGAAATCGCCAAACCGTCTTGCGCAAGCGTGGTGATTAATGTGTGAAGAGGCTTTCCTCAGCAGTGGGCATATCTAGGCTGTTAATGAATATAATTAAGCTACTTGGGACTCAGATTCGCTATCACTCACGAACAAACAAATCATCGATTTACAGACAAATATCACAATATTAGCATACGACCGCAATGTGCATATAGGTACCTACATATGTATATACCATATATGCGCACATGTACACACTAAACATGTTGCAATACACAATATATTGCCTGCCATCCGATCGCTGTGAGAAATTTACCATTGTGCAGTCTCTCTTACTGCCTACCTATTGTTGTACCCCGGCCTTCTTCAAGGGAAATGGGATCTGTAGTCGATAAGGCTTTTAGCTTTTATTAATATTATTCTCGCTTATTTGACAATATAAAAATTAGTTTGCGCACTATAAAACTTAATATACGAAAGCAAATTTAATTTCGAATGTCATGCTTCTTCATTCTTCTGCATCCACGGTCACGAACCAACGATACAGTCGCCGTAGAAAATCTCACTTAATTAGTTTGTCTCTGTATTCATAATCGTCTTAGTACTTTTGACCAAAGATTTTTAAGGTGAATGCAATTACATGTTTTCTCATTATGTCGTTCTCTTATCAATCTCTGTACTAAATTACATATAGTTCATATGCACACGGTCTATTATTATGAGCCCCTATCGTAGCTTGAAACTAGTCGAGCAACATCTCGAAAATGATACTGCATTAAACCCCCGTTTGAATTTAAACCAGTATGAATTCAGTGACAATAATATCCAAACTTGACATCAATTGAGTCATCCATTTTTAATATGAATCATACGTTTTTGCAATAGGTAACAGAGTCGAATTTTCGCTAACTCACGACTGAGATTATTATCATTAAGACAATGCTTAGATTCGGGTCGATCTCGAAATTATTGTTATTTATTTTTAGTTTCAGAGGTCGAGAGGTCAATGGATTTTCCAAATACGTCTTTATGTCCATGACGATACATAATGACGCATCTACCTTTGCAAATAATAAGACATAGCACATCATAGAATAGACAGAATTCATATAGGTATAGGTGTTTAGAAATAATATGTGTATAACGTAAAATATAGGTACTAAACTTCTTTCAAAGTATTGTATTGCCGGCGCCAGACAGACATGCGCCTAAGAATAGTGCAAATATCCACAAAAAAGCGAGAGCAACTCTATACACCATCTCATAATAAAGAACTTTGACTTAGTGATAGAAAAACGTGATACTATTACATTTTACAATACACTTCCTACTTAGAAATTCTAAGAAAGACATAATTTAATACTAGACAAATATAGAAAAATAAGTTTGGTAACCAAAGCTATTGAAAAGTTTTCACAATGAACTCAATTTGTTAGTTTTTAGTGTTTGGCACAAATAGCCGACGGTCAGCTCGACCGAAGTGACTACGGCCTCACAGAAAATTGGCGTTAAACAAGGATTTGCGATGTATTTCATCGTGAGTGAGGTTACCCGTCAACGCCCAATTTTTTTTTTGCTTTAAAACATTGCCCCACATAAGAGATTTTCTCTTGTGTCGTTGGTGCGTTTACAAACATACAAGTTCACATACACAATGACACCCAAATTTCCAATCTCTAAAAGGCTGGTAACGCACTGATAAATCCTCTAGTGTAATGCAAGTGTCCATGGACGGCGCCGATTGCCTACTATCAGGTGATCCAATTGCTCATTTGCCGACCTATACATACATAAAAAACCACGAACTTGATACCGCTGTTTATGATCTTTCCAAGACCTTCACAGCTTGATAACCATTACGCAGTGATACGTGTTCACCATAAAACATGGCGTATTACCTTACCGGGGAACCTTACAAGGATACCTCTAGTTTTGTAATAGAATCGTCGTTTTGTGGGATTATCCTTAAACTGTCAAACACCAAGCGGTCACCGGTGACCGCAACCTATTGTTCTATAATTGTGTCTATAACGACGGTACTTGACGAGTTAAGCTTATAATGAGTTTGGTGTCATAATCTTGGATAATATGCAATAAATGAAACAATTTGTGTTCCAGATTTATAAATTAAAAATTTGATTTCAGGTAAAACGAAAATGACGACGAAAACGAAACGACTGGGATTTCAGCTAAAGACTTTTGTTTTGGTAAGTTTTACACAACTTATTGAAGTGCTTACATACACCAAAGAATGCTGTCTCATACAATAAAAACTAAAAAAATATATAGTGACTTATAGCAATAGAAAAAAAAATTATGTACGCTCTATATTTTAAAATTCAGTACCCAACCCTAAAGTGCAGCTCCTAAAAAATGACACTCAACTTAAACAAAGTGTGACATTACAATCTAATTATTTATGCAATGACTTAATTCCTATATTATTCTTACTCCTAGTCAATTCACATCCTTGATCAATTCACAGCAGGAGTGTGACTAAAGTATAACAGATTAACTGTGACCAATTTGTAATTATTCATACTGATTTAGTTTTTGAGTAATACTGACTAATAGTTATTTGTTTCACTATTTTGCTACGTTGAAATATTTTATTGTTTTTGTTCCTTTTGATCGCGAATAACCTTTGGTTGGTTGGATTAAGATATATATATATATATAATTTTGAGTATGTTCCCGTTATTAAGCATGTGTACAAATAATCTCCATTTTTGGGGTAATAATTGGACCCATTATGCCTATCGTAAAGCATTTTGGTAATGTTTAAAGCAGACCATTTTGAACTTTTTAATAAATATATTTTACTAAAATCGCGGGTTACTCACGTGAACATACTGAGAAAAGCTCTGCTACTTTCGAATAAGTGAGCTGCGTGAAGTCGCCGCGACTGCGCACGCTGCTCATGAGGAGAACCCGCGATTTTAGTTAATTTAGTATGTTTCACGATAGTTATTATAAAAACAGAAGAAAAATAATAATATATGTGTGAAAGTTTCTTGGTTTAAATATTTGTCCGTCAATCACTCTGAAAGTACTGAACGGCTTTTGATGAAATTTGGTATACAGGCAGGGCTATGGGCTGACTTAGGTGATAGACTACTACTTTTTTATACCGATTAAAAGCACCCATGACAAAAAACGGAATCATATTCTACGCGGTCAAATTCGCGAGCAACAGCTGCAGAGTAATAAAAATAATTTCGAAATTCAAATCATATCTCCTAAACTAAGTATATACTTATTTTCTATGTAATGTTGTTTACTTAACACAAATTAAACACGCTACTCGTATTAAGACAAACACAATTACCCACTAGAACACACACACACACACCACTTACTCTATATCTCACACCATACAACGAGAAGGAAAACCTCAACAAACACTAGAACGCGTGTTCTTTCACCAGAGACCATAAACCATTGCGCGTCATTGCGTCACCGTCACAGCGCACTTGACACAATGTCAGGTTGACACATATTGTGACGCGTGGCGTACACAGGGTTAAAATTAAGGTTGCACGATTTGTGGTCACTATTCTTAGTGTTTTGGTAAACATAGATTATAGATGATTTCGCTAATGTTTGTTGTGCATTCTAAATGGTGTCGAAATACCTATGTGTTTAGGTATATTTTAGATTTTTCATATTGACTCTGTTGTATGAAATATTAGGTTTTGGCTAGACTTGGTTATTATGCAAATGGTTGAAATAGAATATAATAATAGAGCGGAATATCTTTGTGGTTTAAAATTAGTATTGCACTTTACACAGTCTCCATTTAGGGTCATAAATTACTTCTTATTTTCATTTTGGAGTCGGGGGCAGAAAAGCTAAAGGATTACCTGATAGTAGGTAAGCAGCCAGTGCTACTTGTCACACCAAAAAGTTACAAGTGTATTGCTAGCCTTTGTCAAATAAATTGGATCAGGACAGATTTTAACATCATACCAAGTGTGAACACATTACTCAACTCCGCACGCAATGACTCACAAACTAATAACTGCATTAGTACACATAACACTATCATTTAGATCCTTTCGCGTCACAAATCGCATTCAATTTTAAATCGGTGGCGCGTGCGCAGCTATGCTCTTGCGCAAGCCCCACCCACGATGACACGGAACTCTAAACACACATACAATACTGCGAAAACAAGAAAAATAAATCTAAATACTCGTTCAAAACCAGTAATGGAATGTAAACTAATAAATTAGCATCGCATTTGACCTTGAAATTTTCTTTTTTTGGTTAAATTGCATTTAGTTGTTTGACGCGTTATGTAGTTTAAAGGTCATTGAACTATATTCAGGTGGGTCGACGATAGGCCAGTGAGACGTTGGCATTCCATTGTCTAATTCCATATTTTGTCGTAAAACTTAGAAGTTTTGCAAAGCTGTAAAACTATCTATGTGTTATTTTGCATAATTATTACTATACTATTATATTATACACGAAAATGAAAAATACGAAACCACATACATATACTTCAATGGTACGGTGAAGTCAAAATATTATTATTAAACCGGTTCTATGCATAACTCGATTATGACTGCCTCGTGGGCCGAGTGGTCACAAGTGTGACTGCCGGACAGGAAGTCTCGGGTTCGATTCCCGGGTCGAACATAGTATTACTGGGTTTTTAAAAAAATATATGGCAATAGGCTCACCCCCTCTTACATAGGACTCATAACATAAAGTGGGTGTTACATTGTACAGTGGCATAATGGCACCTCTGTCTACCCCTTCGGGGATAAAAGGCGTGATGTTATGTTATGTTTATGTTCTTTAAATAACTCGCTTCTGCCAGCGGATCTGATGAGGTCCCGAGTACTTTATGTGTTATATTATACCATAATCTACCACTGTTCCAAATATCATCCCGATCCCTTCAGCCGTTTTGACGTAATTCAGTCACGAACAGACAAACACATAAACTTTCGCATTCATAATTACTATTAAGATTTAGTCGACTATTCATACGAGTATATCTTTAGTTTCTAAAAATAAATCATATATACCTAGTTACTAATTTTAAATTTTGTGCTAAAATAAAACCTCTTTATTATACAGCAACTGAATGTATTAGAATTACTTATTTAAATAGTTCTAAATTAAAATATTTAGCTAAAAGCATTCGACGGTTTTAAGGATAATAAATATAATGAACTAGTTTTTATAAGTT